ATTTACATAATTAGTTAATTTTTTGCTGTTCTATGGCTGTTGCACTGATGTCTAAAAACCACTCATTGGATTTCAATGAAACTTTTAAAGAGTACCCATCACATTTCAATGAACCTCAGACTATGCACCATATTAGTTTTTGGTAAATATTTATGCTTCTTAATCACCTAATTAACATAATTAATTAATACTGATATCTCAAGTATTGATCATCGCATTTGAATAAAACTTGGTACATAAATGCTCTAGGACAATAGACAGCCTGATTAATTTTGGGTTAAAATCTGTTCATATTAATTGTCTAATTAGCATAATAATTAATATTTTTTTGGTTCTAATCACATTTCAATGAAACTTGGTACATTGTGCAGACCTTTAGTTTTACACTTAAATCTGTTCATATTAGTTACCTTATTTGCATAATTAGTTTTCAGCTATTCCATCAATATCTCAAGTATAAGTAATTTTGAATTAATTTTTAATGTGTCTCCAAAACTCTCAGCACATGGGAGTTCTTTCTAAGCTTTCTTTGATTTTTTTTTCCTGCTAGCATCTTCTTGTGCCATCCATTCGTTCGCATGTTCAACAACCGATACCTGCCTACCTGAATTTCGTCAGTGCGACGGTATCAATGATTGCCCTGACGGTTCAGATGAACAATACTGCCCGGAGTACTGCAAACATTCCTTGGATGGTGAAGTTGGATATTTCACGTCTCCTAATTATCCACATCCGTATGCAAATAATATGTCGTGTTCATGGACTATACTGTCTACTGTTAATACCATACAGTTGAGATTTGTGGAATTTCAGCTGCAGGAGAATGACTTTCTGATTGCGTATGACGGGGATGATATATATCAGGTAATGAGATACGTATGAAGACATAAATGTTACTCTCGTAACATTCTGATTGAAATGAGATATATGATGAGACATCATGCACCCTCAATGGACAGTCCTCATGGCATACACTGATTCAAATGACTGCAAATTTAGTAGAGCTTGCTCTTCTCTGAATTGTCAACCAGTTAGAGAGAATAGTACTGATGGGTGGTTTGTAACTCAAGTTTTGATTGATGATTGATGAATTTCATTTGGACTAGACGTAGTTTAAGGCAATGTATACCGCTAGATGGTCATAATGCAGCTTCTATTTACCTTCTATTGCCCCAATGCCCCAATTTCCTTCTCAATGTGGTGGAACCTCCACTATAGGCTTTATTTTTATTACAACCCTTCACTTTCACACAAATTCGATACTTGGTTGAGACCAGAAACTGAGAATCAAACATCCAGGGTATTTTGCAGTCCAGTGAAATGAGTATTGACCATTGCCACTTATACTGACAGTTGCTTTCGCACATTTTATTCAGATGATTGCCATATTTGGGCTTGACCACTGGTTAACTGTTGATACCGGTATATACTGTAAATCGATTTAATATCAAATGAGGGAGTCATAAAAAATGCAGTGTCAGTTCCTTATTGTCATCAAATTTCTAGCAACAAAAATGAAGTGGTTCATCGTACATATATGTTCTGACATCTTTCAAATTGTTATTAGTTTTACTATTTGATACTTTTATTAGGAGGAGCTAACACATCTATATGGGGGTGATAAAGTGCCACATGTGATTGAATCCACACACAGTAGAATGCTGGTTGTGTTTAAATCTGATGCTAAGTTGGTGAGCAAGGGATTCAATGCTACATATCAACATAAAGGTAAGATTTACATATCATTAACCTTTACACCACCAGTTCCCACTTTTCATCACAAATTCACATAATAGTCTGCACTACTTTTTAGAATATTGGGACAAAATTAGCCAAATTTTTCGTGTAAAAACTGAAAAATTAATCAAATTTTGTCTGTTGGCTCCAAAATTAGGGTTCATTTTTAGAATTATTGAATATATAAGAAAAAAGTGCATTAAAATTGGTGGTGAAAAGGTTAACATCAATGCTTAATGATGTAGGTAGTAAATTATTCTTGTTATAACACTGTTGTGGAAAACAGTGGATAATTTAAGGATGCTAAAATTCAGTACCTGACATTATGTATGCACATGGTTTTAATTTTGCTTGTTTCACTGACTGGAAAATGCGCTAAATTAAAATCCAGTAAATATGTAGAATTTAGCAAAGAACACATTATCTAAATGATGAAACTGTGAATTTAAAACATGCTGAATATGCCTGAAATGGTAAATCAGCGAAATTTAAACCCAGTGTAAATTAGTCATTTTATAGTATCTCGTACATACATTCTCATTTACATACTGCACACATTTACATGTAGATTACTGTATTTGCCCTTTTAGTAGCACATGTACTGTTTACTTACATAATAAAAGAGGTGATTCTGTGATCAAAAATAAGCATATGAGTGATTGTCCGGTGTCCGTCGTCCGTCGTCCGTGTCAATGTTTTACATTTTTGACTTCTTCTTGAAAACTACAAGTCTGAATGCTTTGATACTTGGTGTATATGTACCTTGGGTAGACCTCTCTCAGATTTGTTCATTTCATGATCATATCTTCAATTCTCTAATTTTGGTGAATATTTTTGTCATTTTTGGTAAAAAGTGATATTTTCAACTTCTTGTTAGAAACCGCAAGTCCAATTGCTTTGATATTACATATATAGGTACTACATGTGGACCACTCTCAAATTTGTTCATTTCATAATGATATCTTTAATTTTCTAATTTTGGTGAATATTTTTGTCATTTTTGGTAAAAAGTGATATTTTCGACTTCTTGTTAAAAACGACAAGTCCAATTGCTTTGATATTACATATATAGGTACTACATGTGGACCTCTCTCAGATTTGTTCATTTTGTAATGATATCTTTAATTCTCTAAATTTGGTGAATATTTTTGTCATTTTTGGTAAAAAGTGATACTTTCGACTTCTTGTTAAAAACCACAAGTCCAATTGCTTTGATATTACATATATAGGTACTACATGTGGATCTCTCTCAGATTTGTTCATTTTGTAATGATATCTTCAATTCTCTAATTTTGGTGAATATTTTTGTCATTTTTGGTAAAAAGTGATATTTTCAACTTCTTGTTAGAAACCGCAAGTCCAATTGCTTTGATATTACATATATAGGTACTACATGTGGACCACTCTCGAATTTGTTCATTTCATAATGATATCTTTAATTTTCTAATTTTGGTGAATATTTTTGTCATTTTTGGTAAAAAGTGATATTTTCGACTTCTTGTTAAAAACGACAAGTCCAATTGCTTTGATATTACA